GTGTGACCACACCCAAACAAGAATACGGTACGGGGCTAGGTAGCCAGTAGTTATGCTTTTAGATTTTACTATATATAATTAGTATATTTAGGAAATTCTACACTACCAAAATTAGGATAAAAAAGCAAATAAAATCAGTTTTGAATTTAAACCGAAGAGTCAATTAGCCGTGGGAAGGCGATAATTCTTGGGGTAAGCGGATTGCGATCCGCTAACTCATACTTGGTTCTTGTAAATAACGAAAGGTCGGTGACCTAAAATACGGTTCCTAAGCGCTTAGCTACGGCAGCTCCGCTGCAAAATCGCATTTGGTGTACTCCTGTGCATACTAACAAATGATCTGGCAAGCCTTTTGGTCCCAATGACATACGCTTTTAAAGCTATACTTTGTGTTCTACCCAGCCATTTGTCTGTTTAGTGGTCAGCAATTGATATGATCAATTGGGTCTCCAGTATCCGACACATTGACCGCCGGAAAGCCCTGTTTGCAAAACACTTCGTCTAGAAATAACTTGATGTATCATCACTGGTCACACGATAGCTGACAGCAGTGATATGAGTTTTGTTACAGGCAATCCACACAAATCTCTTTCCTGACGCGATTTTTGAAGAACCAAAATTAGAACTTATTCTTTTGAGCTGCCAGAAATGCCACATCACAGGATGACCAAAGGCACCGGCTTGCTCGGTGAAGATTTCGTAAAGGACAGTCGAAGAAATCGACTGACGCTGGATATGCCACTTCCACACAAATTTGGTGGTACGTATGTACGCTTTGTCTGCCTTTCAAGTTTGTTCAGGGATTAAGGATAGCTGTCTGTCTATCTTCAACAGAACCAGGATATGTGGATATCACTTCATGACGAAGAGATCGTAGGTCGCATGGTATTTGTCAGTAGAAGTGAGACAAAGTAAATTTCCCACGCGTCGTTGAGTACCTGCGGCAACATGGCAAACGGCAATAGGTTGATATTTTGCAGATTTTATTTGTGTCAACATTGCTGTTCTTTACCCGCAAGTTTACCCGTTTCTTGATGAAGTTGCTTAAAGTGTATCATGCAAGCCTTCAGACCTTTTCATGAAGTACCCCCGGAGATCGAAAACTCGTCAGTAGACATCCATAATCAGATAATCGGGAGCTTTGTCAAACTGAGGGCGCTAAATGAAGCTGGAAGGCTGCGTTAACAAACGTGTGTGTATCGTTGCCGAGATCTAATGATCTATAAAATAAACAAGGTTCGAGCATATTCTGCAACGAACAACGCCATGGCAAATTGACCAATGCACAATCTCAACTACTTGCAAATATAACGTACAAAGTATTACAACAGAGTGCATGCTCCAGTCATATTTTTTTAATCACTTATTAGGCTCTTCCGAATTCACCTTGTGTATCACAATGAAGGTTATAATATGCAAGGTAATGATTTCTTTCGGGTAGCCACCTCAAAAAAGGCATACTCAAATAAACTGAGTATGCTCCATCAAGACATAATTTGCTTCTGAGAACAGTGCATGAGTACCTATTCTTACATGCGACCTCCTAGCCTTCGAATCGCTGACACGACGCGCGGTTTCTCATCGGGTCAGTGTTGGATCTATGACCAGCTCAACTAATCATATTAAGAAGAGATGACTCTATAATTTTTTGAATTGACGTTTAGACATAGCGGCTTGAGATCGGTGGAGTTTTGTAAGAACCAATGATATCCGATTAAAAATGTTTATAGAAAATTAACACAATTTTTTATAATTGCTAAGCGCCACTAGGCCTGTCTTAGCCGCCACCGAATAATTGAAATTTGGTCCGGACCGATAAATGCGCTTATTCTGCATCCCTTCTTATTTTCTAAAGATATATGACTTATTCTTAGAGAAAATTCAACATGATCCAATAAAGGATACCTATACCGTTTGATGATTTTCCATACAGAGAATAGAAATCTTACCGAACTCGTGGTCGTCGATTCGGCATTGGGGTTTCAACTTGAAACGATATTGCAGCGCATTTTACACCAAACTGCCCCGTAGTCCGCGTTGTCAAGCGCATGGGATGGGCTCAAAATTCTTTATTTTCGACACCAATCCATCTTAGCATTACTACTTAGGGAATTGGAGTATGTACCGTATCATGATGTAGACTTCCATTGTTGACACATAGAATTAAAGCAACGCTCGGATGAATCAGATGTATTGACATTGACGAAGTGATGCTACTCAATAACTTGACGGACCCCTGCGCTACAAGCCTCTGTCCATACCGAACAAATTTTTGATATTGGATGTAGTTCAAACAAACATATTTGGTATGAGTTTGAATGAACATAATTCAAAATATACATCACTACGTATGTCAAAAGAAAAGCGAGGTCTTAGTTACGTAAGTCAAACTCCGTCCGCTCCTGATTAGACTGTACCGGACCATTCTGTAAATTGATCAACGCTTACACATGAGTAGAAAACATTTGCATTGTTCTAGATGCGCGGCTGCCCAGTTGCAGGTGGTGGAGTTTGTTGTCAATTCAAAGGCTAAATACACTCTGTGAGGACGGATCTGGAGAAGTTTGCTTTTCCATCTCTGGGCAACAAGACACGACAACAAGCACAATCGGCAATTTAAGACCAGAAGTCTGCAATAGCTCGCCTAAAGATGTTAGCCTGTAATACACCAGCGAGACATCTAAAGACCGTCGGATCTGTAGTCTGGTGATCTGCCATAGAAAAGCTTCCACCATGTGTCAAAGAAAACTATCGTTTCTCATTGTGAGGCCTTTTATGCTAAGCATTTAGCCTTTGATGGCAAAGCCGACAGAAATTTACCTTGCTGGACACGTAATTGTCATGCCATACACGCAGTTATGCCTTTGACGAGTCATCATCTCGTCGCGTTTTCAGTCTCACGACAAAGAGAGTGGGCAAAAATCCGCGCTGACTTGCAATACCTCTGTAGAAGATGCATTTCCGACCGAAAAATTATTTCAGCGATGATTTGTTTCGGGTGTTCGTAACGCCAATAAAGGTGTACCAGGTGAGAGCATAATTCTCGCTCACTCATCAAATTTCGTGTGAATAAGTAGATGTTTTCGGTAGCCCAAATTGTCAAGAGCTAAATGCTGTCGATCTTTTCTGGAATGGTAGGGGGTACCGTCGTCACGTAGGGTCTCCGTGTGGGTACGCCTCAAATCAAACCCCTCCACGCTTACGCTTAATCATCTTAAACAGTGGTTGGAAATGCTATTGAATATGACACACAGATTTTGTGCCGCGAGGGATGCTGGCGTGCAGGAGATGGACCACTCCAGAGGTGAAATTTCTCAGCATATTAATAAACAGTAAAGCGATCTTTAAGATGCTGGGTACTACCAAGACACTTAGAGATATTAAATCTTTGATACGAGATTTGTACGTTTGTGACGGGAGGGCTTTTTTCTTCCTGAAGTGAGAACATTCACAGCTTGACGGCCGTCTGGCCTTTACTCGGGATATGAAGGGCGACCTCGTTCTATGTATGGCATGGCTAGAAGGCCGTGAGTCATGAGCGACTATAGGTCGAAAATGGTAGGCATTTAGACCCTTGTGGTCTTTGTGAATCATGGGCTAATCTCGACTATGGCGCGGACATGAAACAGCGATAGCTTTGGTGACGGGAGATGGATTCATCAAAGCAAAGCTGCTGAGTACCATGGGCGAAGCCCGAAATGCAGAAGCGGAGGTGACCCGCCGTGTCTAGATGAATTTTAAAATAGAAGTCGTATAAGACGGTCTCCTGATTGTATCTTTGCTCAAGTAGGAATTAGCAAGAAAATGTCGTGAAGTCATTTGCAAATATCTGTAAGCTAGGTTCTTCTGATCCAGAGCCATTGTGGCTGAGTATGAGCAGCTGGGTCTCACGGATCTTCAGGTTAGAGTCTAATGAGTCTTACGCTTGTAAGTCGAATGAAAATAGGTCACGCTCAAAGTTTATGAGGATAGTCAATACAAAGCATGTTTGATGAGTCAGCACTATTACCGTGTGACGCAACTGCAGCGTGGAGTAGTAAAGACCACAAGGTTGTGACAACAATTTATTTCCACTTGTTGAAGAAGTGATTAGGGTAATTCTTGGGCATGAATATTTTCCATATTTATACAGACATGATCTTTTGCTGATCTCAGAAAGCTATCTTGAAGAATGATTGCAGAGAGTTAGAATGCAGCGGAGACCCCAATCAAAATGATAGCTATGGAATTACAAACTGAATAAAGATACTCGAATGGACAGTCGAGACACATCAATTGCGTATTGCAGATTTCATGCATAGCCCTCATTCGGAGAACCGCCGTGCTAGAGTGAAATGTCCCAGCTCATATTGTTTGCGTATATCAGACTACACTTTAATTTAATTGATAATTTAAAGATACTCTGAGTTTTTTAAACACCGCCACGACGTGACTCAGAATTTGGCGGCTAAGAAGCTATCAATGCGATTAAGATTTGATGAGATTACACTTTGTAACAATATGAAGTATCTTTTTCAATACGATGGAGTATCATACGCCGAGTGCGAGCTTAGAGTCACGATGTGGGAAAAAATATGCGGATACAGACCACACATTAATACGGAGCGCAAATTGTTTATTTGACGACGTCATTTCTTATACGTGCAACATTTGCAGTTACTAAGTTGAGACCTCGCTACGTCAGACCGTTCACAATTGATGCTAGTAAAGTATTGAGCCATGCACTCATTCTCCCGAAGAAAATACACTATAATCCGTGTTTTTCGCAGGCTTCTATAAGCTCTACTTTGATGCCTCTCCTTCAAGCTGTTTGAATGCGAAGCACTCTTTTAACGACAAAGCAGCGTCTCCAGCACCCCATGTAGATGAGCTTCTCACGGCTTAAGGGCAGTAATACGAACCACCCATTGGTTCTCCGTACAATGGTGTAACCTGAATAGCGTGTCCGAAAACTGGCTTACGTTACTTTTCGCCGCAAGCTGAGACTCTCGGAGAGGTTTGATGAAGGGATGATGGCACACTTGTGATTAAACTTGGTACATCAGAATATTGGTAGCTCACTACTACCGCAAATAGGGATGATTGCGTACTTATGTATAGATAAATGTAGGATAGGAAACTAGCAGGTACGACAGAGGTCATACTGTAAAAAAAAGACAAAAACATCAGACAAACGAAAAAGTTCAGTAAAAGAAAAGTGAGAAGCACACCACCGAAGACGGTTAATGAAGTTTTCCAGAAGGCTTAAAGAACTAGGCAAGAATCAGACATAAACATTTCAATCTTACTGTAAATATACATTCCAATTATCAAGCATCGTTACGGTCGACGCGCCGCCATAACCGCGAAAACACACAGTGACTATTCGCAAGTATGGTCTTCCTCCACCGGTACTGATTGATGAGCAAGGGGCGGTCAAAATCAAAGTCATCTAGATAATAGTCTGGTTGGATGAACAAAGCGGGAACATATAAACGAAAGAAATACCCTCACTCCTAATATCATACGATTTGGAGTTCAATGTTTTGGTTAGATTCTTTTGAAGTTGTTGTCATTCATGACTTGGCACGCCCTGTATATCACCTCTCCGGGAGAAAAAATTTAACGTGATTACACATACCCTGGTATGAAGGGGTGGCTCACACACGATGGTGTGACCACACAATGGTGTGGCTACACCTTAACAAGAAGCCACTACGTGGCGAGACTGCCAGTGTTATGCATCTAAATTAGGTCTTACTTTTTAATCAGGAAAACCTATTGATTTGGATATAGGCGGCTCTGCCACAAATAAAACAAAGAAATACAGTCTACATTTTGAGCGGAAGGGTTCATTTGCCTTGAGTAAAGTTTGTGGTGACTCCTGGAGTAAGCGGATTGCGATCGGTGGCCTTAGGTTAGCTTCCTTAAAGCAAAAGAGCTACGGTAGCTCCACTGCAAGAAACTAAGTCGCTCTGGTAAAACGCATCCCACAAACAAGTAAGGCCCCGCCTTACTATTTTTTTCAAAGATGTATTAGCAGGCATGAAGATGAGCAGATCTATCGACACCAAGAGCTTGGAAAGAATGAGAGAAGACAAGAGATAAGATGAGTTCGATTCAACGCTCGTGTTGCGCAATGACCAGAGCATTAAGAATGCTTAAGCTTGGTGTCTTCTTTTCAAAGCTGCTATGAGAGCCTCAACGATGAGGAAGGAGATGCACCGGGGCTGCCGTAGCTTAGCGCTTGAGGAAACCTAATTTAGGTGACCGACCTTTCGTTCTTTACAAGAAGTTAGCGGATCGCAATCCGCTTACTCCAACAGTAATTATTGCCTTCCAAGGGCTAATCGACTCCTTGGTTTAAATACCAAACTGATTTTTATCAACTTCTGTATCATAATTTAAAAGGTTAGATTTTCCTAAATATACTAATTATATATAGTAAAATCTAAATACATGCATAACTATTTGCTACCTAGCCCCGTACCGTATTCTCGTTTGGGTGTGGTCACACCATGCACATCTCGTGACACACACACCCCTGTTATCTTGGTTCGTGTAACCCCGTTACAGAAATGCTCAATGTAGCAGATATTTTAAGTGCAAAGAGTGGAGTGGGGATCTGAGTACAGTGGGGTGCTTGTTGGGCTATTACTGTCACACAAAATCTTCAAAAGTCAGATGAAATGTGGATCCTTAGCATGGTCCGCACTTTGGTTGGGAAGCGTGCAACTATATATGCACTGTACTATTGTGAGCACTCATTTAGCACGTTTGTGCATTTGTGCAAATAATAAATTTGTTCGATCGTACGAAATTCAGATTCACTGTTGTGTTATTGTAAATATTCAGACGTACATAAATATCGATCGTATGAAGATGATGGGACTACGTAAAGGAGAGGTCCATTGTACATGCGGGTTGTTAGCCCCATGTAAGTATGACGGCAACCTATTTCGAAATATCATTGAACGTTGTATGATAGATTGATTTAGAGCTAGTTCAGATAATTGAGAGCAAATCAGTTTCGTGCGAACTCATCCTCTGTACATTGCTCATGCGGGCTCTTTGTGTCAAAACTTTTATGTGCAAAGTCCGTTGCAGGTGAAACTTTTGTAAATGTGCTTTCCAGGGGCGTAAAGTCATTTACTAAAATGCAATCACAACACGGCTGTCAATCGCAAATCTGATCCGTTCATGTGCTCTATTCCTTCAAAATTTAGGAGTTTACGCTGCAACACCGCACGAATTTGTGATTCGGAATCAGGTGGAGTATTTCCGAGATACATTTGAACTGAGAGTTCTGTTAAATTGTGTGGCTCAGCATATATGGGGCTCGTGACTTAATTGAGTTGCCTAAACAATCGCAGTGATTGTGCATTTAAAAGCGCATTTACATTCATGTGCGCTCGACTAAGGCCTGAAAAACTTAGTCGGAAAAAGCAGAATCACACTGCGATAACTAAATTGACAACGCGCAAAAACCTAAGACAATTTGCCACTAAAAGGCTTTTAATTAACTTTCGCGGCCGAAAATAAAATCGGCTACAGCAACGACAAGATCTCGCGCTTCCGGCGCCAAGCCTTTCAGGGTGCAGAGAAGGCAATCTCATTCATTACAATAACAGAACAATTGGAAGGAGTGGTCGCTAACGCGCATGACGAAAGCGTTTTGTGTAAGTATCTTTAAAAAACTGTAAGGCAGAAAAAGAAAATATTGCTTGATACCATACGTTTATTTTTCAAATATTACTGTCGTCTACAACAAAAACGACTCCCAACATATTCACAACTTGGTGTCCTTTTCGAAGTCCGGTCTCCGAGTTCATGTCGGTGAGAATCGGCTATTTCTGCCGCAGACACTGAGGACGGCGTTGGAAAAGGATTTTGCTCCTCTTTGTTGTAGCTCTTCCTCACCTTCCACATACATCATAGACAACCCGGCTTCAATGTGCCAGTCAATGTGGCAGTGGAGGACCCAAACACCTGGACTGTCAGCATTGAAGCGCAAGACCACATATCCAGCTTCCTGACAGGTACCATTCCCATCAAGTTTGCAAGGCTCAACAGTATACACATCCCGAGTCATCGGGTCCACTAAATTCGGAGGCGGTAGCGTATTGTTAAAAATTTGCTCAAGTGGTGCCGTTCCAGAAGCCACGATATACACAGAGTGTGAATGCAAGTGGAACGGATGTTGCTCCCCTTTCACATTTACCAAAACCAACTCAGCATGTTTGCCAAAGTCAATTTTAAGGGCATTAGCGTCGACAGGAAGCTGCTCAGTCTTCAAACCATCTGCGATCGAGAAGAGTGGAGGATCAACTGGGTGAACAAAGTGATGAAAATCGCCACCATCGAGAGCAATGTATCCAAGTCCATTTTGCATTTGGAATCTCGCGACCGAACGGTGGTCAGGTACTTCGGGAAGTTGAACGGCTATATCTGGCTTGAAGTCAAACTCACGCACAGTCTTTATTTCATTTTGCTTACTTGTCGTCGGCTCGGCTTCATTTCCATCA